AGTTTTTGTGTTTGCTTCTGATTTGTATATATGTTGTTTAAATTTGATCTTTAATATGGCTACAGCCATATTTGGATTGATTCGGTTGCAGTTGGACTTAACGCCACTTACCCACCCTTGTTGGATACTCTTCGGAGTAATTGTAACCTGGAAGGTGTATTAATTCCAGGTAATGCTTTGTATTTCCATGTTTTTATTAAATAAGACCGCTTTCTCCTAGAATTTTTGCCTTTTGTTTGGACCTCGGACTGGGAGAAACGAGTACAGGAGTGCACCTATTGGAACCCATTGGAACTGCCAACGTAGAAATCCATTTACAGGGGTTCCAATGGTGTTAGTGACTGATAACGGCTCTCATTTTGCTGCAGATGCAGTTACTACATAGTTAAATGGTATAGGGTGCAAACATCTGTTTACTGCTCCCAGACATCCTTGTTCCAATGGTCAGGTAGAAGATTTTGTCAGGACGTTGAAAACTGCTATTGATTCTATTGCCGCCTCAACATTTAATGAGCTGGAGAGGGGAGTAGATACCTTTCTACTGCAATATAGAAATGCCAGAAATTCGGTGACGAAAGAGACTCCATCAAAGCTATTAAAAGGAAGAATTCTTCGGTCGAATATGAGATGTTTGGAGTCTGCAGAAGTTACATATTATCGTGGCAATGATCTTCGACCATCCACGGGGATTGTTCTGAAGAATGTCGGGAAATCTATGGTGCGACTTCTAGATATCAATGACTTGAGTACACACAATCGACATGTTGATCAAATACAATTCCAGGAACCAGGTGAGTCTGTTCCAATTTCAGTTGTTAATTCTAGTACTAATGAGAGCATTCTAGATAATACAGAGCCTTTATCCAATACATTGTCGGACAGACACAGGATGAATTTGAGAAGAAGACGTACAATTGAATAAAGACACTTGCATTACAAATAAAGCTGTGGCGGATGTGGTGTTTGAATGAACTAGTAACTTCTTGTTGTTGTGGAATGCTTGATTTCGAATTCCAAATACAATACATTCGTTTGTGCTTACCCTTAGTTCTTGATTCACATACTTCTAATTATTATACTAACCGGCCCGAAGCAGTTGTCCCTTGGGCTCTGCGGTCACGCTCCCAGGTCTCTAAGGCCAACACTAATCTACCTTTCTTTTCAGGTTCCTCAAGAAACAACCTTCCACGGTGTGGGCAGCCGGGAAGTAACAACCACCGTCATACACGTAACACCACACGAGACCAAATTGGTCAAAATCAAATCCTTCCTACACCCACACATACCTCTCTTCTCTCCACAACTAACTTTTGTGACATTCATTTATCACCCCGTACCGCTAATGCGAACGATGCGAGTTCACGAAACTTTGCTCCAATAGGTAGATTACGTGAAGATGAATGTTACGGGAGAAACGAAGACATTTTGCTGATCAAAACCTTCATGTATAAATATCATTAATTTCACTGTTTTTGGGTACATTTGTTTTACTTAACTTGTGAACTTGTTTGAATTATTATTTGCGGACATTTTGGACTCCCGTTTCTCTTGGTTGTTCGTTTGCAGTTTTTTGCTCCAAGAGCCAATAAAATAGAAGAACGGCATTGGTCGTCTATTTGTAATAATATTTTTGGTCGAATTTGTGATTTGGAATAAACTTTGGTATCTACTTTGGAGTTTCGTTCTTGGTTTAAACATTTGGGATCGTGAATTACAAATAGTTCGACAACCGTGCTTCGTAGGATCAAAGGGCAAAAAACTGGACGTAACAATGAAAGACACCTAGGTGGATGTTATGGTGTTGTCGCAGCTCAGAGAACAGACAATGGCGACCGTCTGTTGCGACCCTATTCTTTGCAAACACTAACTTTAGGCATAAGGAAAAGCATCTGTTGTACTGGCGTCCCCGGAAATCGTCTCACTGTTGGACACAACTACATCACATCTCCATCAGTCATCGATGTAGGGATTCGGCGGGGGACTGTCACTCCTTCTGCGGCGCATGTTTAAATTCAGACCATGCTCTAGTGTGAGCTCGTATTTGTTTGAGGCTTACCGGGCGTAGGAAAGACACCATATGTAAACCTCTTATGGTTTTACTTAATGATAAGAAAGCGAAGAATATATTTTAGGAACAACTAGGAAAACAGTTAGGCGACCATTTAAGCGATTCCAATCCGGAGGCAGGTTACTATGATATCAAAAAGGCTTAGGAAACAGCAGTGATATCTGCCAGCAAGGTAAACCGTAAGCCTAGGATGAAGCCGTGGATTTCAGTCGCATCCACCGAACTGATGAATGCTCGAAAACGCATCTCACCTGACTGTGAACATGATGAAGAGCGGAGTCAGCTTAGGCGCAGACTGATTAGAAAGGCATGTACAACCACAGTGCTCGACTTGGAATATGCACGACTTCGCAAAAGCCTTTGACACAGTGCCCCACGCACGCCTAATCGAAAAGGTTGTGGAAATGGGCTTCACTGACCCACTCGTATCTTGGCTCAGAAACTACCTTGAGAATAGAAAGTTTCGCACCAAGGTAAACAGGGTGCACGCGAGTTTGAGAGTATCCACTTCAGGAGTTTCACAGGGGACCATCTTAGGCCCACTCCTCTTCCTGATATTCATTAACGACCTGCTAAGCTTAGTTAGCTGACCGGCACTGATCTACGCAGACGATGCGAAGATCTGGAGGTCCATTAGAAGCGAAGAGGATTCGACTGAGCTTCAAAAGGATCTTACATCCATTGAGAAATGGGCAGTGAAAAACGGTTTAAAACTCAACCAACCGAAGTGCCACGTCATGCATTTCCTGCCTCATATGACGCAAACCATCTACACTCTCAATGGAAGTCCGCTCCCTAATGTCTCCTCAGAGCGCGATCTTGGTTTAATAACCACAGAAAGCCTCCACACGAGTCCGAACTATGTAAGGGATGCAGCCAAGGCAATGTGACTCTTCACTTTATGCGAAGACAGCTTGGTGCTATTACCCCGAAATTATTTTTAACCCTGTTTAAGACGTACGCGCGCCCACACTTGGAGGTTCACAACGTCATCGCACCCCCTCTGCTTAAAAGAGACATTAATCTCTTGGATCGAGTGCAGAGACGAGCAACCGAATGGGTGATAGGGTTGAAAAATAAACCGTACGACGATAGACTCCAGCTCTTGGGATTATTCCCACTGAGCTACAGGAGAATCAGAGGTGACCTGATTATGGCGTACACCATATTAAACACGCCAAACCATCCCAATGTGAGCATCTTACCGATGCATCACCACCACTCCCCTCGAGGCAATCCTCAAAATATTGCAAATCAAAGAGCAAACACTCAGATTCGTGCACACTTTTTCTCATTGCGAGTCGTCGCAACTTGGAATGCTCTCCCAGCCGAGGTAGTTACAGCCCCCTCAGTGGACTGCCTTAAGAAGAGACTTGATAATCACGTACTCACATGCGGACTATCATATCCCTCTTGGACAAGCTGTGCCTGATGCATATCTTGAGACCTGCTAGTTGTTACCATTGTCATCTCCTCAGATCACTCAATTAATCTATCTCGCCTATTCCTCTCCCTTGCTTACACTTCGGTCCTCTCTCACAATCTTCACTACTAATTAATAAACTAAATTCATCTATATATTACTCAGTTCTGAAATTTTATTGATATTATCATTAGAATTTTATCCTTATTGCCTCATATGACGCAAACCATCTACACTCTCAATGGAAGTCCGCTCCCTAATGTCTCCTCAGAGCGCGATCTTGGTTTAATAACCACAGAAAGCCTCCACACGAGTCCGAACTATGTAAGGGATGCAGCCAAGGCAAAGTGACTCTTCACTTTATGCGAAGACAGCTTGGTGCTATTACCCCGAAATTATTTTTAACCCTGTTTAAGACGTACGCGCGCCCACACTTGGAGGTTCACAACGTCATCGCACCCCCTCTGCTTAAAAGAGACATTAATCTCTTGGATCGAGTGCAGAGACGAGCAACCGAATGGGTGATAGGGTTGAAAAATAAACCGTACGACGATAGACTCCAGCTCTTGGGATTATTCCCACTGAGCTACAGGAGAATCAGAGGTGACCTGATTATGGCGTACACCATATTAAACACGCCAAACCATCCCAATGTGAGCATCTTACCGATGCATCACCACCACTCCCCTCGAGGCAATCCTCAAAATATTGCAAATCAAAGAGCAAACACTCAGATTCGTGCACACTTTTTCTCATTGCGAGTCGTCGCAACTTGGAATGCTCTCCCAGCCGAGGTAGTTACAGCCCCCTCAGTGGACTGCCTTAAGAAGAGACTTGATAATCACGTACTCACATGCGGACTATCATATCCCTCTTGGACAAGCTGTGCCTGATGCATATCTTGAGACCTGCTAGTTGTTACCATTGTCATCTCCTCAGATCACTCAATTAATCTATCTCGCCTATTCCTCTCCCTTGCTTACACTTCGGTCCTCTCTCACAATCTTCACTACTAATTAATAAACTAAATTCATCTATATATTACTCAGTTCTGAAATTTTATTGATATTATCATTAGAATTTTATCCTTATTGCCCTTATTACTCTCCACATTGCAACTAACTGATCTCCGGTTTGGTAACGTGACGGCTGCTAGTATCCAGAAACCCTACTGCCCTGAAACAAACGTTTCATCCAAATCCCGAGACATACAAACTCACAACCAACTGCCAACTGACTAGAATTAGACAGTCGAGTGGCTAGACCTCCATCCATTGGACATTACCGAACACCTGGGACCGTACCGAAAGAACAAGAATCGAGCGCGAAGAAATCAAATTGGTTTACACTAGCTCGTGAAAAAGATATGGGATATATTGGATATTGGATTGGATTCAGTTGTGTTTTGTGCGTTGAAACATTGCCCGCCTAATTTACTCGTAGATTTCCCCAAGAATATAACTCAAACCTGTTGGCACACAGAAATCAAATTTTTCCTATTCTGTACACATGAAGAATGCACATGTACAGTATTTCGATGCATTTGATGCGCTAATGATTGAAATGATCAACTACTCGACTTCTGTTTCGAGATATGTAAGATTGCTTTGAAGATTTTTACCCATCTGGCGTAAAAATATTCAGGACTCGGGCATTCGTTTTCTTGAATCCGTTGGTGTAACCGTAAGCGAAAAGTTAATTGTGAGGTTTGTGAATTTTTTCCTAATGTTTTGTATATAGATCTGCGAAAGATCATGCCAGGTTTACTAACGAATTAGATATTGTGAAATATGTGTGCATGGAATTTTGGTCATCAGTATACCATAAACAAGTTGATACACTGAAAACTAATTATCAGGTATAATGGATTCTATATTTAGAAATTTAATAGGATGTTTACGTTATCACTGTCAATGACTTTCAGCCTCTATTGAAATTCGGAAGTATTCCTGATGATATACCAGAAATCCCTAAGGTAAATTGGTAAACATTCTAATCATGCTTGCAGTATCTGGCGTTTTCGTCAGGACTTTTGAAAGGGGCATTATGTAGTCTGGGATTAAATTGTGTTGTGACAGCAAATTGTGAACAACCCCCTACATGTAAGTCTAGCTACAGCGTTACTCATAATGACAGGTAAATTCACAGTTACAGTGCTTTCTAGCAAAAGTGTAGGTTGAAATTGCATTTTTCTATTTCAGGATAGGAATGATATGCCTATTTCTGGCTTTTCTGAAATGAACAATAAGTTTCCAATGTAATCTGACTTCTTATTTTCCAATCTTACAGAGAACCGGGTTAGTACCACGTAGTATTGTATTTTCAGTAAAATTTCGGGAGTTCGAAAAATGTATGATAGGTTGATTTATAGCGATCGGAATGGCCGCTAAAATTTGCTTTCCTCAAACTGTTACGTGCTGTAAGATTTTTCATGTTCTCGGTCACGATTATGTGAGAGCTTGATTAAATAAAAGGGTATCATTGTGTAAGTGGCATTATCATTCAAACTCCTGTTTGATATAGAGAAAGTAAAACTGAATTGCTAGGGAAATAGATGATGTGCTATATAGCCATCTGTATACAAGAGTCAACTTGTGACAAACGACCAAACCAAAATCGCCTGGCACTAAACCAGTAAAACAGGTGACCAAGGTTACCAAAACCCTTTTAGTGGTGAAAGATGCCAGGTTGTCTATGATCACAACTAAATGTTCCATATTATCCCGTCATATATATCAAAATAAATCCATGTTTGAGTATTTAATTGAAGGAGAAATTAGGCATTACATGGGGAGCGGCAAGTTAAGAACATTGGCAGCAACGCGAAGAGAACGTTGCGCGCAAGAAGTGTTTTTGGTACAGTTAAACAAAACGAGTACAATAATGTTTATTTTTCACAAATCGTACATCCTGAGATCAGCGAGTAAGCTACGCTAGTGTTAGGAAACGGGTCCTAGGTAAGTGTGGCAGATCAATGGATTAAGTATTGGGACTTCATCAGTTGAGATGGTTGGAACATGTGTGCGTATGCCTTACCACCGCATGCCTCAACGAGCATTATATTTTGGTGTAGGAATCGGTTGGAAGAAAGCTAGGGGCGGCCAAACCAAAACATGGCACAAATCCATGAAGTCACTGACAACTGTATTTAGTTATGTTGGTAGGTGTAGACTACCTGGTTTAGGTCCCTGCGACATTAGTAGGCGATGGTTATAGACGTTGAAGAACATGGCTCGAAATCGTTCGCAATGGCGCAGGTGCATTCATTGATTGTGTTCTCTCGAATCGTAACCTGAATTCCTGATCACCTTTATCTTTCTCTTTCAAGTTTATTCCACTAGGCTATACTTCTTGAATAATATCTTCGAAACCTAACTTTATCCAATAACCTCTCATACCTCTACTACTATGGGATATGAAGTGCCAGTTACATTTCCGGGCTAATGTGCTATGGCAACTTCAACTGATGTAGGTAAGAAATTCTACGTTGTTGTTGACTGACTGATCAATCCATGAGATCGAGTAGATGGGCAGAACCGTCTAAGATACGATTTAACTATTCTTAAGCAACACTCCAACTACAAATAACCCCCAGTCATCCTGAGTGTCTAATTCAATCAGCCAGCTACAACGGTCAGTCGCGACGTAGAACTTCCTATAGGTTTCTCAACTTCATTAAGACTAGGCGGACTTACATCGACTTGCCATTCAGGATGACTGGAGATCGTGGGTAACTGAAGAGTGGCTCGAGGCCAGCTGAACTGACCCCTAAAGTGTTCTGCCCATCGATCCAGTCTCCTAGATTGAGAATAAATAATAGTCCCGTCATTTTCTGAGATAGTCTCACTTACACTACGATTCCTAATACCAGTTTCATTGACAAGTCGGAAAAGTTGTCTACTGTTGCCCATCGCCGCTGCCTTTTCCATCGCTTCTGCTTTCGCCACCCACCACTGTTCGCGGTCGTTACGTAGGCTTTTTATAAGTCTGCGCCTTAGTTGACTTCGTTCTTCATCATGTTCAGAGCCAGGTGGGATGCGTTTTCGGGCATCCATCAGATCGGTGGATGATATTGAGATTCACGGCTTCATTCTAGCCTTATGGTCAACCTTACTAGCAGATATCACTGCTGTTTCCACACCCTTTTTGATATCATTCCAACCTGCCTCCGGATTGGAATCGCTTAAATGGTCGCCTAACTGTCTTTCTAGTTGTTCCTGAAATATATTCTTCGCCTTATTATCATTATCACCACTGTTCACTGTCGTTATACAGGCCTTTTTATCAGTCTGCGCCCAAGCTCCGACCGTAGCTGCTACCTTGACGTGGTGGTCGGGCTTGCCTATCGTGATGACCCAACCGAGCTATACTGGCTGGAACATATGTTCCTGCAGGTCCTACCATGCAAGGCTGGTCGATTGGAGAACGATGAGACTAAAAGCAGCTACTCAAGGTCTGAGGGCGAAGTCGTACTGCTGACTGCAGAGGGGTGTGACAGCAGTAAGGTGTTTCCCTTGGACAACCAGCATCTGCAGCGATGCTGCCTTCTCACAAGGAAGGAAGGGTTAGAAAAGGTCGGCCCTAAAAATGTCACACCTCCCCTAACTCACGGATTTCCGTCTCCTTGGGTAAGGGTGCCCACTAAGGGCCTTTAAGAACGGAGCTAATCCTCTAAATACCTTTCATAAAAAGGCCGTGCGTGACCGGCCTCAAGCAGTTGTCCCTTGGACTCTGCGGTCACGCACCAACACTAATCCATCTTCCTTTTCAGGTTCCTCAAGAAACAACCTTCCACGGTGTGGGCAGCCGGGAAGTGATAACCGCCCTCATACCCGCAACAGCACGCGAGACCAAATTGGTCAAAATCAAATCCTTCCTACACCCCCTAATGTCTCTCTTATCTCCACGACTAACTCTTCTTACATTCATTCATCACATTGCACAGCTAATGCAGACGATACGAGTTCGCGAAAGGTCGTTCCTGGTCTCCTTAAACCTCGCTCTAGACTACATGTTGGAGCATTCAATGTACGGACATTGTGTCAAATAGGGCAACAGGCTTCCTTAGCTATGACTTTAGAATCTCGTGCCATCGATGTATGCTGCGTCTCGGAAACGCGCATACAGGATCCGAGTCACGTCATACACTTGACCACACCATGTCAAAATAAAGAAGCAGCTCGATTTACTCTCGTGTATCCGGTAGCCCTGATGCTGCTTCCCGGGGTCTTGCTGGCGTAGGCATAGCATTGAGTCGTAGGGCAGAACAATCTCTCCTTGACTGGATCCCAATAGATAGTCGATTGTGCGCTGTCCGACTAAACGGGACAGTAAGGACTCGGAAAGATAGGGACAATCGCCGTTGCCTCTT